GGGATACTGTGGGCTGGGTGTGTGGTGTTGGGGCACTGTGGGCTGGGTGTGTGGTGTTGGGGTACTTCTTCTCTTTGTCTTCTTCAAACATTTTACACTCCCCCATCACTCTTCCTTCTCCTACTTCCCCTCCTTTCTCTCCTCCTCCAAATACCCCACCACTTCCTTCCTCGTCTTCCTCCTTCTTATCTCTCTTTCCTCCTCCTCTCTCCCTCTTTCTCCTCCTCTTCCTTCACATCCACCACCACTTCCTTCCTCCTGGTCTTCCTCCTCTCTCTCATCGTCCTCCTCCTTCTCTCCTCCTCCTCCTCCTCTTATAGTATCCTCCACGCTTCATTACCCCGGCAGGAGGTGCCTGATGGAGGAGGAGGTGAGGTGTGATGCAGGCGGCTGTGTCAGTGATAACAGGTAACCTCATTACCCGTCTCAGGTACAACACACCTATTTACATAATATAGTTTCCATCATGAAGGGAGGGGGGGGGCAGGAGAGGGGGAAGGAAGTAGGGGGGAGAGGAGAGGAAGGGAAGAAAGGGAGGAGGAGGAAGGGAGGGGAGAAGGTGGGAGGTATACACATTGTAATATAGAGCAGTATTAGGTCATTACACTAGTGCCCAGATGTATACAGTGCGCATATTATTAGATTGTGTGTGTGTGTGTGTGTGTGTGTGTAATAATAATAATATTTAATAATAATAATAATATTAATAATAATAATTAACGGTTTATTGAAAGAGCATGGCAGCCGGAAGTCTGAAAATACTCAGTTACATAATTGGGGAATGGGTCTCTTGATTGACAAATAATATACAAGTAACATAAGTGATACAAATATGATATATAATAATTACTACAGGGCATTTCAACATAGTGACAGTGCAAAGGGTAAGATTGACTGGGAGTGAATACGCTGGTTGATTACAAGTTATTGATAATTTTTACAATGGTTGGGACTGGGCTGTTCTTATAGAGATCAGTTCGTGCTCGTATGGGCTGGATGCTGTTGTGGTGTCGAACGGCAATTCTCGGACGAGGGATCTCGGGTGGTATTAGGAGCCGGTGTCGAGGATAGTGCAGAAGCTTCTCAACAAATTTGCAGATGAGGTCGTGGTGATGGTCAGTGAGAGTCGGGAGGGTCAGTGTGTTGAGCTCTTCTTGATATGTGGAGTAGGAAGGGGAGAGAATAACCTTGCACTTTTTCTAGGTGTTTACGTTGTGTGGTATTTAGGGAGGAAGACCAGGTAGGGGAGGCATAGGTGAGCTTGGGAAGTATGAATGTTGAGTAAACACTGAGGAGCTCGGGTGCAGGAACTCCGAGGGACTTGAGTCGGCGGAGGAGGTGGAGACAGAAACTGGAGGATTTGACAACTTCACTGACGTGTGGTTTCCAATTTAGGTTGTGGTCTTATGGTGTCGCCGAGGAGCTTAGTGGAATCTACAACCTGGAGTGTGTTGGGACCTAAGGTAATGGAAGGGGGTGGGACAACGTCGGAGGAGAGGTTGATGTGCATAACCATGGTCTTGGTATGGTTGATGGTGACATGGTTGTTGGTGGCCCAGTTTTGGAGACTGTTTGTGTGTGTGTAAACCTTGGTAAGATATGATAGAGGTAGTCTGGGTTAGTGTGTGTGTTAAGAGATCATATCTGGAGTTGAAAGTGGGCAAGATGTTAACGCTTGGAGTCTGTGTAATAATTGTAATAATAATTAACTGTTTATTAACAAATACAGCAGCCATAAGTAAACACACAAGGAACACAAGTGGTAAATAATATATAACATACTGTAATGTAGTGACATGGGGGAAAAGGTCACTTAACAAGGACTCTCAGCACAGTTACAGCACAACAGTGAGATTGTCAAGGAGTGAACACACAAGATATCTACCAGTTGTTGATGATTGTTACAGTGTGTACTGGTGCAGCGATCAGTACGTGATCTTATGGGCTGGAGGCGGCTGCAGTGTTGAACAGTAATATGCGGACGAGGGATCTCAGGTGGTAGCAGGTGACGGTGGTGATGATGGTGCAGCGATCAGTACGTGGTCTTTGGTGCTGGAAGCAGCTGCAGTGTTTAACAGTAATATGCTGACGAGGGATCTCAGGTGTAGCAGGTGACGGTGGTGATGATGGTGCAGCGACCAGTACGTGGTCTTATGGGCTGGAGGCGGCTGTAGCGTTGAAGAGTAATATGCGGACGAGGGATCTCAGGTGGTAGCAGGTGACGGTGGTGATGATGGTGCAGCGATCAGTACGTGGTCTTATGGGCTGGAGGCGGCTGTAGCGTTGAAGAGTAATATGCTGACGATGGATCTCAGGTGGTAACTTCCATGATAACTTCGTCCCTAACTAACAGATGAGGTCATAGTGATGATCAGAGAGTGTTGAGAAGGTCAGTGTAGTGTGGTGCAGGAGAGGGAGAGAATAGTCTTGCTCGGCCTCTTCTCCACTCTCCAGGAGTCCTCCTTGTGTAGCAGTTAAGTGAGAAGACCAGACAGGGGAAGCATAAGTGAGCTTAAGGAATATGAATGTAAGTGTGTGTGTGTGTGTGAAGGTAAAAATTCCAATTGTGTTGGGAAGATACATTGTTAATTATCCTAGCACACACACACACACACACACACACACACACACACACACACACACACACTCAGTCTTTCAGTAACTAAGGATGAAATAAAACAAATAAACTTAACTGAACAGTGTATTATTAGGCATCAAGTTGACAGTTACCAAACACAGTGTTTTGTTGTACTAGTGCTTAACTAGTTCAGTTACAACATTTGCTAGTAAAGTAGCTAGTTACGTTACCTTTGTACTAGTAACGTAGCTACTAGTGTCACATCTGTACTAGTACCATAACTGCTGTAGTAGAGTTACCTTAGTACTGGTAAGGTAAACTAGCAGTGTTATATGTGCACTGGTAATATACTAGTACATATATACCTGCCTTACAACTACTGCTAGTAGCATTAGTTGTAACTGACGAAATCATTACAAAACTACATGAATTGTAACACTGACATCCCACTGTAGAATGTGAACTAGCTTTTCTATATTTACTTGCTCTTGTATTTATCATGTAATAGAACCAAGGCATAACGCTAGTGCTATTACGGAAGCTAGTAAATTTATAAACACATTAGTAACACGGATATAGGGTTATTGGCCAGCTAGTGACAACCAACAGTGTTACAGAATTCTTTACTTACGTCACTAGCACCACTAGCTAGGCACGTTACTAGCCGTGAGAGCAGGAAACAGGTTCACTGGTTAACTCTGTTTGTAGATAGTATTTGGCACAGCGATATTGGGACACGGATATAACCAAATAAGACTGACACCCGGAACTACACCTCTTTTACGGAGGCATTATAACCCAGTATTTAGTTAGGTTAGGTTAAGTTAAGTGAGATTAGGTTAAGCCAGGTTAGGTTAGGTTAGGTTAATTTAGGTTGCCATATGAGGTTAAGTTAGAAAGACAGTGATAATGATGAACTTGTCGTGTGAACATTGCAAAAGATGAGTGGATGTGAGGTAATCATTCTCATGTTCCTAGAATGTGTAAGATGGGGGAGTTTGTGTGTGCGTGTGTGTAAATGTGTGTGTGTGTGTGTGTGTGTGTGTGTGTGTATGTAATGTCTGTGTGTGTGTGTGTATGTGTGTGTGTGTGTGTATGTGTATGTGTGTAAATGTGTGTGTGTGTGTGTGTGTGTGTGTGTATGTGTGTAAATGTCTGTGTGTGTGTGTGTGTGTGTGTGTAAATGTCTGTGTGTGTGTGTGTATGTGTGTAAACGTCTGTGTGTATGTGTGTAAATATCTGTGTGTGTGTGTGTGTGTGTGTGTGTGTGTGTGTGTGTGTGTGTGTGTGTGTAAATGTCTGTGTGTGTATGTGCGTAAAGGTATGTGTGTATGTGTGTGTATGTGTGTAAATGTCTGTGTGTGTGCGTGTGTGCATGTGTGTAAATGTGTGTGTGTGTGCGTGTGTGTGTGTGTAAATATCTGTGTGTGTGTGTGTGCGTTTGTATGTGTGTAAATATCTGTGTGCGTGTGTGAGTACAAATGTGTGTGTGTGAACTTTAAGGAAATATTTCAGTAATGAAAAACATCTATTTCTTTTTGAGGTGTAAAATGAGGTCGATACATTTCATTCTTGTCTTCTGATAGCAGCATGAAGTCAGCCTGCAGTACTGAGACGTCGAGTACTGTCTGAAAGAAATAATGAAAGAAGATCACAGATACACATGATCAAAACAGATGATTGAAGCTTTAAGTGCATTTATATTCATTAAAGAAAGAACAGTCTTCCTTCATTTCACGGACGAAACACCGGTGAAAAAAGCATTCACGTGCAGGTTATGTACATCAAAGATAAAAGAATGAATACCCTTCATTCTTTCCACACACAGAACACCATTGAAAGAAGGATAAAAGTGTAAGATATTTACATGAAAGAAGAGGACAGTTTTCATGACTGTAGACTGACTGGTGACTGTCTTCATCACTGTAGACTGACTGGTGACTGTCCTCATCACTGTAGACTGACTGGTGACTGTCTTCATCACTGTAGACTGACTGGTGACTGTTATAATCACTGTAGACTGATTGGTGACTGTCTTCATCACTGTAGACAGACTGGTGACTGTCTTCATCACTGTAGACTGACTGGTGACTGTCTTCATCACTGTAGACTGACTGGTGACTGTCTTCATCACTGTAGACTGACTGGTGACTGTCCTCATCACTGTAGACTGACTGGTGACTGTCTTCATCACTGTAGACTGACTGGTGACTGTCTTCATCACCGCTGTAGACAGACTGGTGACTGCCTCATCACTGTAGACTGACTGGTGACTGTCTTCATCACTGTAGACTGACTGGTGACTGTCTTCATCACTGTAGACTGACTGGTGACTGTCTTCATCACTGTAGACTGACTGGTGACTGCTATCATCACTGTAGACTGACTGGTGACTGTCTTCATCACTGTAGACTGACTGGTGACTGTTATCATCAAAATAGACTGACTGGTAACTGTTATCATCAATGTACACTGACTGGTGAATGTCTCCATCACTGTAGACTGACTGGTGACTGTTATCATCAATGTAGACTGACTGGTAACTGTTATCATCAATGTAGACTGACTGGTAACTGTTATCATCAATGTACACTGACTGGTGACTGTCTTCATCACTGTAGACTGATTGGTGACTGTCTTCATCACTGTAGACTGACTGGTGACTGTTATCATCAATGTAGACTGACTGGTAACTGTTATCATCAATGTAGACTGACTGGTGACCGTCTTCATCACTGTAGACTTACTGGTGACTGTCTTCATCACTACTGTAGACAGACTGCGACTGTCTTCATCACTGTAGACTGACTGGTGACTGTTATAATCACTGTAGACTGATTGGTGACTGTCTTCATCACTGTAGACAGACTGGTGACTGTCTTCATCACTGTAGACTGACTGGTGACTGTCTTCATCACTGTAGACTGACTGGTGACTGTCTTCATCACTGTAGACTGACTGGTGACTGTCCTCATCACTGTAGACTGACTGGTGACTGTCTTCATCACTGTAGACTGACTGGTGACTGTCTTCATCACTGTAGACTGACTGCGACTGCCTCATCACCGTAGACTGACTGGTGACTGTCTTCATCACCGTAGACAGACCAGGACTGTCTTCATCACCAGACCGACTGGCACTGTTATCATCACCAGACCGACTGCGACCGCTGTCTTCATCATCGTAGACTGACTGGTGACCGTCTTCATCACTCGTAGACCGACTGGTGACTGTTATCATCACTGAAGACTGACTGGTGACCGTCTTCATCACTGTAGACTGATCGGTGACTGTCTTCATCACTGTAGACAGATTCGGTGACTGGTCTTCATCACTGTAGACTGACTGGTGACTGGCTTCACCACTGTAGACTGACTGCGACTGTTCTCATCACCGTAGACCGACTGGTGACCGTCTTCATCACCGTGACTGACTGTGACTGTTATCATCACTGTAGACTGACTGGTAACTGTTATCATCAATGTACAGTAGACTGACTGGTGACTGTTATCATCATTGTAGACTGACTGGTGACTGTCTTCATCACTGTAGACTGACTGGTGACTGTTATCATCACTGTAGACTGACTGGTAACTGTTTCATCAATGTACAGTATACTGACTGGTGACTGTTATCATCATTTAGACTGACTGGCGACTGTTATCATCACTGTAGACTGACTGGTGACTGTTATCATCACTGTAGACTGACTGGTAACTGTTTCATCAATGTACAGTATACTGACTGGTGACTGTTATCATCATTTAGACTGACTGGTGACTGTTATCATCACTGTAGACTGACTGGTGACTGTTATCATCACTGTAGACTGACTGGTGACTGTCTTCATCACTGTAGACTGACTGGTGACTGCTCCTCATCACTGTAGACCGACTGGTGACTGTTATCATCACTGTAGACTAACTAGTGACTGTCATTATCTCTGTAGATTAACTGGGACAGTCTTGGGGTACTCCTATTGTTACCAGTTAGGTCCCAGTTACCAGTCATCGTTACCTCACAGTCTACAAACAGTTATTGGGAGGTAATCTGTCAAGTAAATTCTATCTTGTTAAAAAGTTTGTCCAGTTGATGATTTTGTCCGGTTTAATATTTTGCCCGGTTATAGATTCTGTCCTGTTAAAGATTATGTCCGGTTAAAGATTCTGTCTAGTTAAATATTTAGTTCTGTTAAAGATTATGCCTGGTTATAGATTTTGTCCAATTAATGATTTTGTCCGGTTAAAGATTCTGTTATGTCAATTAGTCCAGTTATTTTTATTTTGTCCACTTAGATATAATTTTATTTATTTATTTGTTATTACAATGCTTGAGTTGATCTGTCCGGTTGATTTTGTCCGTATAGAGACAACTTACAATTTGTCCGGTTGGTTTTGTCCGTATACAGTCACATTACAATTTGTCCGCATAGAGATTCACCACAATTTGTCTGATCGATTACGTCCGTATAGACACATTACAATTTGTCCGGTTGATTTTTGTCCGTATACACATTACAATTTGTCCGGTTGATTTTGTCCAACTACAATGATAATACAATTTTTAGTGTCTTCATTATTTACGATCATCTGTGTTGCTTGATCTCATCTACTGAAGGAGGTGGTGTAGGAGTCTCTGAAGGAGGAGGTACTGAAGGAGTTCTTGAGGGAGGTGATGAAGGAGTCCTTGAGGGAAGTGACGAAGGAGGTGGCGATAGAGTCCGTGAAGGAGGCGGCGAAGGAGGTAGCGAAGAAGAAGGAAGCGCTGAAGGAGGTGGCGAAGGAGGCACAGAGCGTGAAGCAGGAGGCCATAAGTGCTAGACTCGGTGCCACCCCAAGACTCTCTCCGCTGGCTGTGGACAGACAACAGACAAAAGAGGTTACTGTGTTGTTGCTCCTATTCTTGGCAGTTAACAAACATTTGGCTACTTTTTTGGCAGTTAACAGACATTTGGCTACTTTTCTTGGCAGTTAACAGACATTTGGCTACTATTCTTGACAGTTAACAGACATTTGGCTACTATTCTTGGCAGTTAACAGACATTTGGCTACTTTTTGGCAGTTAACAGACATTTGGCTACTATTCTTGGCAGTTAACAGACATTTGGCTACTTTTCTTGGCAGTTAACAGACATTTGGCTACTATTCTTGACAGTTAACAGACATTTGGCTCCTATTCTTGGCAGTTAACAGACATTTGGCTACTATTTTTGGCAGTTAACAGACATTTGGCTACTTTTCTTGGCAGTTAACAGACATTTGGCTACTATTCTTGACAGCCGGACATTTGCTACTTATGGATTTTAAGACAGATGGCTACTTTTCATAAATATTAACAGCATTAACAGACATTGGCCGTTTTTTCTGATTTTTAACAGACATTTGGCTATTATATCCGACTGTGAACAATAACAGACTAACAGGACAAAACATTTACATTAAGAGGCGTCCATAATTATACGAGCACATGTATTCACACAGACACAAACACACAAACATTCTACCCTGGGGAACATCACACAGACACAAACACCTACCCTGGGAATATCTCACAGACACAAACACACAAACACCTACCCTGGAAAGATCTCTCCCAGGCTCTGAAGTTGTCAAGTATGGTAGTGTGGTGGGCCAGCCGATTACCACTGATCTCCGCCACACATTTAACCCTCAGTACGCCTCGCTGGAAGTGGAACGGCCTCGCTACGAACGTAAGTCGGGAGATCTGCGTCAGTAGACCATCCTGAACCATGTAAGGGCGTTCTCTGGTGACTATATCTTGTGGTGCCTGTGACAAAGACCAACAGAAAGTGCTTGAAACATTCCATCTCTTGAGAAAATAAATACGTGTCTTTTCCAGCATAAATTAGTGTAAATAGATGTCATTTCATCTGACAATTCGCCTCCCAGAGCGTAATTCACCTGAATATTAACCGCTCTAACGCTACGTGCGGGGTTAAATTAGGTTAGGTTGGGCTAGTTCAGATTACGTGAGACAGGTTAGGTTAGCGTTAGGGTTAGGCTTCAGGTGTCTTAAGGTTAGCGTTAGCTCAGGTTGGGTTAGGCTTCAGGTGTCTTAAGGTTAGCGTTAGCTCAGGTTGGGTTAGGCTTCAGGTGTCTTAAGGTTAGCGTTAGCTTAGGTTGGGTTAGGCTTCAGGTGTCTTAAGGTTAGCGTTAGCTCAGGTTGGGTTAGGCTTCAGGTGTCTACAAGGGGCAATTGTGTTGGGTTAGGCTTCAGGTGTCTTAAGGTTAGCGTTAGCTCAGGTTGGGTTAGGCTTCAGGTGTCTTAAGGTTAGCGTTAGCTCAGGTTGGGTTAGGCTTCAGGTGTCTTAAGGTTAGCGTTAGCTTAGGTTGGGTTAGGCTTCAGGTGTCTTAAGGTTAGCGTTAGCTCAGGTTGGGTTAGGCTTCAGGTGTCTTAAGGTTTATCACTGAAGTTAACTTATGTGTAGAAGTTGATGATTGAGTGAAATAAGTTGGCGACGTATAGATGGATAATGTATCGTTATTATTGGCGACATTTGGCGAAATTTATACTAATTTGGCGATGTTTAATGTATGTACTTTGATATAATGATGTAATAAGCAATGAGGTGATGTGTACTGATGTATAGGTGATGTGTACTGATGTGTAGGTGATGTGCAGACTCACCTGTCTGCCGTTTATCCTCCAGGAGAGATGTGTTGCAGGTCGGGATGGGCTGGAGGTACACAGGAGGTTGACTGTATCGTTAACGTGGTACCTGTTGCGTCCACCTGTGATGACCGGCCCGGAGGTTGGTGGCTCTGTTGGGGAGGGGCCTGTCTATTAGGCTGAGAGACAGACAGATAGACAGACAAAGGAAATAGATAGAGAGATAGACAGACAAAGAGACAAAGGAAATGGTTACAGACAGACAGATTGAAAGATAGACAGACAGACAAACAGATTGATAAACAGAAACGGGAGATATATATATATGCACACAGACAGAAAAGAGACAGACAGAAAGTGAGACAGGCAGCCAGATTTGACAGAAAGACACATACACTCACCAATGACTAAGAGGTTGCCGCGGCCCGTCACAGTGTTAAACTTAGGTCCTTCAGCTGACACTTCACACCGGTACTGACCAGACGTGTTGAAGCCCACAGCCCGCAGTACCACCCGACCAGGCTGTGACGCTGCCTCCTGTGACGGTACAGTGTTAGGGTACAGCTGACTACAGTGAGGGAAGGGTGCAGTAAGGAGGGAGGGTGTTACAGTACGGGGTAGAGCGAATTACAGTAAGAGTAGAGTAAGTTACAGTGAAGGGTACAGTAGGGAGAACAGGTTATAGTAAAGTATTGTAAGGTTGGGTTACATTAGGTTACAGCGTGGTACAGTAAGTTACAGTAGGGTTATAGCAAGTTACAGTAGAGGGTACAGTAAGTTACAGTAGGGTTATAGCAAGTTACAGTAGAGGGTACAGTAAGTTACAGTAGGGTTATAGCAAGTTACAGTAGAGGGTACAGTAAGTTACAGTAAGGGTACAGTCAGACAATATTCATAGTTTTATATCAGTATTTACAGCGACCAATCACAACAAACCTTATTTAAATGTCTACCATTCAAATTATTTACTGCTTTTTTACGTCAACCAATCATATTAATCCTACTTTTCATACCAACCAATCACATTATTCCTACTTTTCACATCCACCAATTACAACCAACATAGATCTACTAAGGAATTATTCGGTTCCAATATTAACACTCCATTAACACATTAGTCTCTATTCCCTCATTTATCATTCACTCTGTTGGTAATAATCAACAAGTATAACAGTAGCAATAACAATAGCACTAATAATAATGATAATAACAATAGCAGTAATAATAATAATAATAATAATAATAATAATAATAATAATAATAATAATAATAATAATAATAATAATAATAATAATAATAATAATAATAATAATATCCTCTTCGCGTAACCATCTTTCGGAAGATGTTGTGCCTTACCTAATAATTAATCCCTAAAATATTAAACACATTCTTCTATATTATAAATCAGACCAAATATATTTTATATTCATTTTTATTTAATTTTTACAAAGTATTTATCCTTTTATAGATGAAGAGAGATGAAGAAAAGTGAATAATTATTGTTTATTTTGAGAAGTGAGAAAGTGTATCACCGCTCACAGGCCTCAGTGGTCAGCGTTTGTGTACATGAACTATTTTATTTATCGTGAAATTACTCGTTATAAGTGCCTGTTTGTCACTCTAAGTGTAATGATTTAGTAGAAGAGTCTTTGCTGCATATTATGAGGTGAAATTCATGCTACAAAAGACTTAGAAATTTTTTAAATTAGTGAAAATATAACGTCTTCACCGGGTGACACGATTCCAGGAGTGCAGGTATTTACTTATTCTTGAATTTTATTTAGTTGTCTGTTATTACCATTAGTGATACGTTGATACTGATTTACCTCGTGCAGAGTCAGATTAAAGTGATGTCTTTTATTGTATTGATAATGTTTTTCGGCGGAAGTGGTTCTATGCTCTGACGTCACAAGGCTATAGGGTCATTAGGCCATGGCGTCACTAGGCAGACTGCCTCCCTCACCCTGGCTCCCGCTATACAGTAAAATAAATTTGATTTAAAAAATACAAGTGATTTGCAATTTTACTTTATTATTATTTAGTCATAAATATATACGTCCTACGGTAATATTAAAAAAAACGTATTGTGAACCCTTATGTTTGTGTTGTAATCCCTGGCATTAGGAACCTTGAGTACAGAGACAGGTTGAAGCATCTTAATCTACACTCCCTCGAGAGACAGAGTGAGGGGCGATATGATAGAGGTGTATAAATGGAAGTCAGGGCTGAACAAAGGGGACATTACAAAGGTACTCAAACTATCCAACCAGGAGCGAACTCGTAACAATGATTTTAAATTAGACAAATTTAGATTTAGGCGCGAAATAGATAAACATTGGTTTGGAAATAGAGTAGTGGGTGAGTGGAACCAAACATCATCATTAACTCGAATACGCTGGATAGCTTCAGTTATAGGTGGGACGGGTATATGAGCGATAAGGGCTGGGTGTAAACGGGACTGCCCAGTATGGGCCAATAGGCCCGGTGCAGTTTCCTCCATTCTTATGTGCTTATGTATTATGGTGGTGTAGTTATTACGGCATTATGGTGTAGTTATTTTGACATATGGTGTTTTAGTTATTTTGAAATTATGGTGGTGTATTTATGGTACTATTATGGTATTATAGTAGTTATGGTACTGTTAAGTTACTATTATAGTCGTATGGCACTGGCATGGTATTATTGTTTGTTATCGTACAGTTTTGATACTACAGTATTATGGTACTGTTATGGTATATTGTTTTTATGGTAATATTATTATATTAATTTGTCTAGGGTGTACAGTACAGTTAACAAAAAAAATATTCTTCATCTTTATGGTGTTATACAATATGACACACCTGAACAAGAATTCTGAACAACACTCATTTATGTGGGTGATTCCTGTTAATTTGTCTGTATTAACTATATGTGATGTAAAAAAAAAACCTCATACTGGTTATACAATGCATCACACAACCAGAAAAACCAACCTCACCAAATTAACATGGCCTCTGTCAGTGATCGTTGCAGAGGCCAAGAGGTGCAGAATATTTTTTTGCTGATTGTACCTGTGATGTTCTTCCTTACCTGTGATGTTCTTCCTTACCTGTGATGTTCTCCCTTACCTGTGATGTTCTTCCTTACCTGTGATGTTCTTCCTTACCTGTGATGTTCTTCCTTACCTGTGATGTTCTTCCTTACCTGTGGTATTCTTCCTTACCTGTGATGTTCTTCCTTACCTGTGATGATCTTCCTTACCTGTGATGTTCTTCCTTACCTGTGATGTTCTCCCTTACCTGTGATGTTCTTCCTTACCTGTGATGTCTTCCTTACCTGTGATGTTCTTCCCACCTGGGTGATGTCTTCCTTACCCAGATGTTCTTCCTTACCCAGATGTTCTTCCACTGTGATGTCTTCCCACCTGTGATGTCCCTTCACTGTGATGTTCCTCCTTACCTGTGATGTTCTCACCTGTGATGTTCTTCCTTACCTGTGATGTTCTTCCCACCTGTGAGCCCTCCCCACCTGTGATACCCCTCACCGTGATGTTCTCCCCTTACCCAGATGTCTTAGTCGTGATGTTCTCCTCACGCCACCTGTGATGTCTCCTTACTCCGTGATGTTCTCCCTCACCCGTGATGTTCTTCCTTACTCCGTGATGTTCCTCCCCACCTGTGATGTCTCTCCTTACCCGTGATGCGTTCCTCCCCACCCACAGTTCTTCCTTAGCTGTGATGTTCTCCACCTGTGATGTTCTCCCCACTGTGATGTTCTCCCTTACCTGTGATGTTCTTCCTTACCTGTGATGTTCTTCCCACCTGTGATATCTTCCCACCTGATGTTCCTTACCTGTGATGTTCTTCCTTACCTGTGATGTTTTCCCACCTGTGATGTTCTCCCTTACCTGTGATGTCTTCCTTACCTGTGATGTTCTTCCTTACCTGTGATGTTCTTACCTGTACCTGTGATATTCCTTCCTTACTGTGATGTTCTTCCTTACCTGTGATGTTCTCCCTTACCTGTGATGTTCTTCCTTACCTGTGATGTTCTTCCTTACCTGTGATGTTCTTCCTTACCTGTGATGTTCTTCCTTACCTGTGATGTTCTTCCTTACCTGTGATGTTCTTCCTTACCTGTGATGTTCTTCCTTACCTGTGATGTTCTTCCTTACCTGTGATGTTCTTCCTTACCTGTGATGTTCTTCCTTACCTGTGATGTTCTTCATGACCTGTACAATATATTGCCAATATTTACTAGTTAGACATAGTATGTAGACGAGCTTCATAATACTACACAAGGTGTCATGAAGTATCGTGTCTGTATGCATGACAGACATAGTCATACCTGTTGTTATTGTATGTACGGTATTGAATAATTTTTCGGTACACGTGCACGGTGCTCAGTCTACTGCTACTGAATGTATTAAAAACATTCTCCCGGTAGGCAGATACAGTACAGCACGTTACCTATATTTCAATGTACTGTACATGTTCAATGTCCATTTGGTAAATTGGAGCCTTTTGTGTCCTACAGTCAATGTACATTTTACATGTTCCCTTAGTAAAGAAGTATACTGTTTGATCTACCTGCAGTGTCAATTATAAATGTCACCTTTGTAAACAGGTACAGTCTCGACGAAAACTAGAACACCTGGGCACGATGGGTGTGAAAATGGGCAGAATGGTTTCAGATTCTTCGTTCATTTTCAGATTGTATTGTGCTTATAGCATTCGAGACGTTTTTGGTGATTGTACATGACGTAACATTTTGTCAATTAGCGTATTAAATTCTGCAACCCTTCTGAAATAATATAATTAATTGGCACTTCACTTTCCAAACTATAAAGTTAGGCACCCATCCACAGCTTGGTGGGCTAGAGTGTCCAGGATGCGAGCCAGTGAGCCTTGGGACGGGAGGGGAGTGCTGTGTCCACTCGGCCGCCGCATCCCAATCCCCTTCGATACTTCTTAAAGAAAAACATTGCCAAACCCTTCAAGGGATCATTGTCGTCACTACCTGCCCAACATACACAAGTACCTCACGTACAACCTTTGCTGACCCTGAATATTGATGAGTGAGAGGCTCCGTGGCTGCCTCTCAGGAGTCCCTCTTAGATCTTGATGAAGGGGACAAACGTTCTTATATACTGATGTTACCATGGTGGGGTTTATTGTTCAGTGGGAGAATTTTGATGAAATTCCTGGGTCTGTATTCCCTTCATGTTGTAACTTTGCTAATAATAATGATCGTGATACTAATAATAATACGCACATCAAAATACCTGTCAAGTGAAATGCTTGGGACCAAGAATCTTCCGTAAAACAGATAATTACGTCAATTGGATCACTGTCATGACCACGTGTCCAGGGAAAACAAGGAACTTAGGTCATTAGTGTCTGTAAATACCTACACACTAATTTACTTCATTAAGGTGAAATAAGCTCGGGGTAATAGGCGGGTGATGTTATATATCTTGTGTGGTGGGGAAGGAGAGCTTAATGGTGTAAAGTTGCCCATTAATATTTCTTAATTGAAAATACTGTTGAGGATAATAC